AGAAGGCGCCGCGCTCCGCGTCCCACAGGAACAGGTCCGCGTCCAGCCCGAAGATGAGGCTGCGGGTCGGCCCGGGGGGGCTGGGTCTCTCCGCGCTCTGCTCCCGCAGCCGGCACAGCACGGCGTGGTGCGGCAGCGCCGCCCGCCACTCGTCCGCCGGCTCCCCCTCGGCCGCCATCGCCCGCCGCACCGGAACAGCGCCGGGCTCCGCTCGCCAATCAGCGCGCCGGGGCCGGCTGGCGCCTCAGAACTACCGCTCCCAGCGTGCACCGGGCGGGCGGCGCAGAGCGGGACTACACGTCCCAGCGTGCACCGCGCGGGCGGCGCAGAGCGGGACTACAAGTCCCGGCGCGCACCACGCGGGGCCGGGTCTGGGCTGTGCTCGCGGCATGGAGGCGCTGGGGCAGCGGCATCGCTCTCTCTACAAGGGGGCCGCAGCCCCGCCCTGGAAGGAGACCTACCGCCGGGTGAGGGAAGGGTGCCGCCCCCCCCCCGTCTGTAGAACGCGGGGGCGCCCGGCGTTCGGGCACTGGATACATTGTAACGATTTCCCCATCCCGCGACGGGCGGCTCTGCGGGCTGCCCCCCGCTCCTGGGTCCCTCCAGCCCCTGCCCCGGGCTGGCTGCAGCTGACGGGCGGGGGCAGGGAAGCAGTGGGAAGGGGTCCCTCCACTCGGCATGGCCCGGTGTTTCTCCGGCCGCTGTTGGGGTGAGAGATCCAGGCGGCGGGAGTCCCCTGCCCACAGGCTGGGTGGCGAGCAGCCCTGGCCCGGGTGGGGAGACCTGTTAATAGTAATAGTTACTGTAGTAGTGCGGGTAGAGTCCCATCGGCACCATCTTCCACACTGGGAAACTGAGGCACGGAAGGCTTACGTGATCAAAGGCGGGACTAGAGCCCAGGTCTTCTGACTCACCAGGCCAGTGTTTATGCACTGGGCCATGCTGTCTCCCTAACACCTTTTTCGTGGTTCACCCCAGTCCCTGAGGCCTGTCCCTTTTGTGGCGTGGGGGAGACCCTGGCGCCCGTTTAGCTTGCGCGCATCAGGTTGCAGCCCCTTTTCCGGCTCCTCCTGCACTTCTCCCCCGACCTTCTCATACATGCACACCCTATCCGTGGCCCCACAGTCACGGGACCTCCCTGTCAACCTCCTCCGAGTGATGGCCAAAGTGGCCGTCTACAACACCAGGGAGAGGATGTTGGCTCAGGGGGTTTCCTGCGACTGTGGGGCCTGTTTCCGATCCTCTCTCCGTTCACGCATCCAGGCAGAGTGCCTCTGGGCAGCGTCTGCTGGCTTCCTTGACACCTTGGAGGAGCAGTGAGCGCAGTCCGGAGTTCTCTGCTCAGTGTCCCCTTCTGGTTCCCTTGTTTTGACAAGGGGTTGTGCCAGTCCACCTCCTGGAACCCAGTAGGACCATTTTCAAACAGATATGAGTTGGCCACTGCTTTGTTTTCAATGGCACCCTGAAAGCTACCTAGAAAGAAGAGTTGAATGTGGACCTTCTGTGCGCTTTAGTGGCAGTGGGGGGAAGAGGGGAGCTGTTCTGAGTTTCCTAGGTTTCTACTGCCAGTAGTACAACCTTGAGAAATAAATATTGTCAGGCTCTGATTTCCGGTCAATTCTCCTACCCCCTTACCACCAACTCTAGATTATTCTTAAAAGATAGAGAGAGAAGGGAGTGGGGACAGTATATATACAGCTGGCTGATGGCAGAACAAGTAATTTCTAGCCAGAAGAAGCCAAAGAATTGCCAGCCAAATATGTATCTGAGTTGAGTTCTGGCAACACACAAGGGATTATCATAGCAGCACCATAAAAATTTGGTCCCTGTGTATTCGAGATTGGGCAGAAAATACAGCTGTTTCCTTTGATTTACCTTCTGACTGGAGAGAGATCCCAGCCAAACTGGATTGAACCTGAGCTCTTGGCCTCCTGTCTGCTAATGGTCTAGGAGCCTGACTGGTCTCTGGTTCTATCCACCTGCTCCAGTTGGCAAGTGGGATTTCCCAAAAACCATGTTGCTATTACAGTCCTGTAGTTTCTCAATTTTCTTCAGTTACATCCCTGAGCTATAAAACCAGCGTCTGGTTGCCCCGTTGTCCAGCCAAAAGAAGAGGCGTGACGCTAATGAATCCTGCATCATCTCTTTTCTCTTCTCTCTAAGCGCTGTGTGGAGAGACTTAAAAACAGTCGTGCCAAGCTGCTGGATCGATACCGCCAGGCTGGGGAGAAAGTGCATTGCAATGCAAGGGCTGCTCTTCTCGTGCAGGAGGTGATGGAGGAGGAGTGGCAGGCCTTGCAGTCAGTGAACGTGAGCCTGCCCTCCCTCAGGAGAAAGGAGGCGCTGTCACAGGTCAGTGAGCTGGATTCTTGCACCTCATCTTGGAGCTGCCCTATACATGGCTTCCCCACCGAACGATGTTACAAACTGCATCTCCGTCCTCAACCGGAGAAACATTTATTAAGAGACTAAACCTTTAACACTTCAGTCCCTCTAATGGGCCTGATCGTTCCTGTTACGTGCAGGCCCTTACACTTTCAAAAGCCTGTTTGCTTTAGGGCTCATCTTTAAACTTCCCAGGCTTCGCTCTGCTAATCAGGTGCTATCTCAGGGTTGCAGATATGCACAGCTCTCCATCTTCTCATCTCAAGATAATGTACATCTATTGTTATTTATATCTAGTACCCTTCTCACCTTTCTGGGTAGTAGGGATCTAGCTGTAATGCCCTGCTTTAAGGATCTCATGCCTCTGGCTGGTCAAGATTTGCACAGCTCAAAAGCTTTGAGCTGCTTCAGCCATATGAGTGGAGGATCCAACATCAGGCGCTACTGCCTCTCAGTCCCTTATAGCTAGGAATGGGAAGTTCCCTTCAGCACCAGTTGCATGTGAATCTTGTGATTCTGGGGGGTTTGTTTGTTTTTTGTGCCTGGTTTTTAAAGATTAGTGTTGTTTGTCCAATTTCTTAGAATGACACATCTACAAATGGGTATAAAATGTTACGGTTTGACGTTAAAGGGGAGTGGGGCTGTATTTCCTTGAAACTTCTATCTAGCTTTAAAAGAGTCTGGAAACCTCTGCTTGCTAGCTGCAAACACACCATGGAAGTTCAGGAAACTCCCACTATATAGTTGCAAAGGCAGCAGAGTCACTTGTTTGATTACACTGGATTGTTTTAATGCAGTACTGTCCAGCTGATGTTAATCCTCATCTATGTATGTTTCAGGTGTTGGAGGACCCTGATGAACTAGCAGTACTGGAGGAAATCCAACAAGAGTTGATCTCACAAGGTAGCTTTTCAAAAAACATATTCTTGATACTGACACATGCAAATACCCTCCGTGAGCCATTTTTAACCTTCCTGAAATCCTAGTCATCCATTTATTTGAGGCTGGACTTTCTTCTTGGCTCAGAAATCATGTGATTTCCAAAGGACTCTTAAACAAAAACAAAAAAACCCCCAAAAAATCCATGATCTCAGATGCTTTGGGATCCTGGAAGGTGGTTGGATGTGATTGGTAGCATTGCTTTGTTACAACTCCAAGAGTTGGGAGTTAAATCATGGGATGTGTGAGAGGTCAATGAAGAACATGAGCTTGGACTTTTCGCGAGAGTTTTAGTTCCCTTCTAAAGGGTTGGAAAATCCATTGCTGGATAAGTAAAAATGTTCCAGTATTCCCATATATATAAAATATTTTGACTTTCCCGTGAGCAGCCAATGACCAAATGACAGTCATAATAGCACACAACAAATCTCCTTTTGTATCCTCTGAAATGAGAGTAGTCTGAGCACAGCGCTGGGATCCAGGAGTTTCAGGCTCTGACACTCTTTGGACAAATCACAATCTCTGTTTCCCTACCTATAAAATAGGAAGATGTGAGGTGCAGTTGATTAATGCTTGTAAAGTACTTTGAGATCTTTGGGTGGAAGGTGTAGTAGGCAGAGTTAGATTAGGAGCATCTAGAGGTTTTCAGTGTGCATCATGAGTAAGGATTTAAGACAGAATCCCCTAATGTTTTTGCAGCTGTCCCAAAGAAAGATAAGTTAGAAATAGCGACTAACCCAGATTTCTTTCTGCATAGCCATAGCAATTTCATCTTGACATTTGTCTTAGGTCCGTAGCCAATGACAACTGTTTTTTGTTGTTTTTTAACAGAACAGTTGACAATAGAAGAATATGAACGGAGTCTGCAGTTTGACCAGGAGTGCCTCAATGCAATGCTTGACAGCTTGGACGCAGGCAACAAGATTATCTGTCCAGTGTGTAAAAGGTGAAGTGTGTTCCTGTCATCAAATGCTATATGTTAACTACCTCACAAGCCAGTAGACCTGAATTTCACCCAAGTATGTGATGACGATGTCAAAGCTTAAACATCTTCTTATGCATGCTTTCTAACAACTGGTGATTGGCTGATGAAGTCTGGCTTCATTCATTCTTGCTGTAATGAGAGATATATGCAGCTCTTCACTTATCACTGGAATGCAGCCAGCTGTGGAACTCAGTAGGCCTTTAACAGCAATATGCCATAAGAAGTTAAGACCAGACCTCATATTTTGTGTGTAACATGACTTGAACACCTCAGCTTTATGCCTCTCTTCCATACCATTCATTGCATGAAGCATACTATAGGGTACGCTGATGATCAAAATAGCCATAAGTGGTACAGGGCATTCTGCAGTGAGTTGATAAATAGTCATTCTCTCTGGCTGCAGATGCAGTTTGGCCTCTTGCATGGCAGCGGGGAGAAGCAAACCTCTTTCTCTAGTAAGGGTTTGATTGTTACAGTTACTCAGAAGGCACAAATCCTGTGTGTGAGAGATGCTTCTAAAATCTAACTTCAGTCTGGTTGGAATTCAGTGTTTTCTCTTTCTAGTTGTCTGTCAAGGCTATCACATTGTGTTCTATTTCTAGGAATAACCTGACTGTGATGAGTCATTTGGTTTTATGCCAGTGTGGATTATACATCAGCACACAGGTAACCTATCATGTATTGTTGTAGTGCCTGAGAATTCTGGGGCAAAGTTGCCTCTCTGTTTTGAATGCTGCTGACATGGTGCGTTCATGTTTTTGTGGCCCTGTCTTGGTCCTCTTTTGCACCCATACGAGTTTGATGGGAAGGTGGCTGCGCAGAGTTGTGGTTCTCAAACTGTGGTCTGTAGAGCCCATCCCAGAAGTCCACTGAATGGAATGATTGGAGAACCAAGCAGCAGGGGCCTGGGAGAAAATATGGGCCTATACATTCTCTCTCCTACTAAGCATCATATAGAACAAAAAAAAGCTGAAGAAACCCAGTGTAGTAGCTTGTGTCTGAAGTGAATCATCCAGCATGTGGAGCTGTGCAGTCAGAAATGCTAGTTCTTGGAGTTAGGTAAACTTGCTGCAAAGCAACTCCTAAGAAAATCCTCTTAAAAGCACAAGATGAGTTTCTTAATCTATTTCTGTCTCAGGGCATGACAGAACAGAAGCTCCGGTCACTTCTAGAAGACAGTGTAACAGAACATGGTCATCAGTGTCTTCACAATCCTGAGTTCTCCATCACTAGTGGAATGGAGGGAGAAGCCAATCTTCTCATGAGCTGTCCGGTGAGTCTAAATTGCCACGGGAGTCTCGGGGAAGCATCCCCATTCATGTGCGCTTCTCCATGTAGTAGGCAAAAACAAATCAACCTATTGTGCTGTTCCCCTTTCAACCGTGCCCCCCCTCCACCCCAACACACCCCTTTTGGGAAGCTGCTGGGTTTGGAAAAACACGGCATTTCTATGAGGAACAAGACCGTAGGGTTTCATTCCATTTTCTAATTTGGCTACTTGTCCTTTACATGTATGATATGCAGTATGTATTTCCATGCCATGTAACACAAATGGAACTATTGGGCTAAGTAATTATCTATATCCTGAATAAACAGGCTATTTTACTAAAACTAAAGATGTCTTTAAAATATAAGTTCCTCTTCATCTTTGTTTCCTTTTTTCTAGTTGTCTCATCTTAGACAACCTAGTGAAACTGACTCATCTGTGTTTTACTTTCTGGTTCTCCTGCACTAGCACAGTGCTGCAAAGTTTGGATTGCAAACGCTGCAGGGAATGCTTAAATCCACAAGATCACTCTTTTCATTTCAGTAACAAGCTGTGAAACCATTTTGATTTAAGCGTACTGAAAGCTTGTTTATAGAAGTCCCAAATGTTGTGCTGAAATCAACATAACCTTTAGACATAGTATGGTCCCCTCTTGAGTGTCTCCCTGTGAATAGACCAAACCCAGGTTTAGGGGGTGCCTCTTAGCATTAGTGCCCTAGTGTTATAATTACTGTTGTATAGTCTATACCTGTAAGTGACTGGGCACTTTCTTTTCTAAAGGTCTGTGACTCTTGGACAGTTCTCATATAACTACAACCCTGCTGGGTTTTCTCCATGGAAAGAATACACTAGTAAGATCCTTCTTTCAGCCTCTAAGCAACTTGGATGGCATCCTGCACATCTTTTCTTTTTATATTTAACTGTATATAATGTTTTTGTACTTTAATACTGGATATCAAGCAATATTGGCTTAATCTGCACTTTTGATAGCTAAATAAATATTTGAAATGAGATGTGGCTATTCACATAAATGAGACAAGCCTCCCAGAATCTTGAATTCAGCACAAGCCTTCTCATAACTTACTGCTGCCTCTCTGGCTTTTCATTCATTTCCTGTTCTGCAGCAAGAACAGCTGGGGCTCTGCCTGTCTCAGCTTGTGTAGTTACACATGACTTACTCTAGAGCAGGAGGTGCCTGCTCCAGGGTTGATGATGGAAAATTTCAGTTGTGAAATGTAAGTGAACATACACCAAGACCAAAGGTACCATTTTAAACAAACTGGCACTTACAAAAATTACATTAAAAAGTCTTCCCTCTCACTGGATCTAATGTCCCCATCATTGCTACTACAGCTTAACCCCTGACCTTTATCACAGGAAAAAGACTAATACATACCAAGTCTAAACAGTAAAAGTATGTACCATTGAATAGGAAGCATGATACAGTGCATCTTTATTTGCAACCTTGAGCCAGACACAAGCTATGACTAGTATGCAGTGACAAATGTGAAATGTAAAAACTCATCCATCACTTCCTTTTGACTGTAGAGGGTAGTTGTTTGAAGTAAGTTATGATATAGTAGTGCCCTTTAAATCAGCCTGACCTCTTTATCAGAGTAGGGCAGTCACAGCTCAGCTGTTTTCAGAATCACTGATGTGATGGATACATGCTGCTGAGGAATATGTCTGGCCATTCCAAATAAAGACCACTGTAGCTCTGATTGGGTGCTGAGTGAGTGAGCTAAACAGCTGGTCTATATAAGAACTCATACTGGTACAGCTGATTGAGTGGCCAACAGGGTTATAAAAAGCCCAACCCCATGATAGTGGGTTCCTATGTTTATTTAACTTGTATTAAACAATGTAGTTGAAAGATTAGATACTAGAAATGTTACATTTCAATTTTAACCTGTAAAGGAAAACAAACTGATAAAATGTTAAGTAACCAGATAAAAAGGGTAGTGGTGCTCTGAAATACTACAAGAGTTAATCCATACATGCTTAACTTTACCCAATATGAGCTGGGCCTTCCAAGTTGTCAGGAACTCAACCTAGTCCCTGTGATCAGAATTTCCTTTCAATGGTGCAGTCAAATTAATCCAGCAAGCCTAGTTTTACTATATCATAGTTGGCATCAGTGGATTCTAAATATTTATCCAAAAATGAGGAATAGGGGCAAGGGAGCGGCATCTTCACAGTGCATAAGTCTGCCTGCAAGATTTGTCATGCAGGTATCTAACCATGAGGAAGTGGCCTGAGAAACCAACTCCTACAAGATGAAAGTCAGTGTTGGCAGCTCTGTCATCAGTCTGGATAAGATCTGAACTATTCATTTAGAAACAATATGCTTCCTCTCCTGCCTCCAATCACCTTCTATGTTGAGGCAAATTAATTTAACAGTCTAATATCTTATATGCCACCACAAATAAAATGCAGTCTGAATTTTAAGAACTCAGCTTCCCCATGACCCGCCGAAAGGCATCTATGACTTCTACCTAAGTATTTGCCTCTGACCAATTTACAGCACTTCTTAACCAGCAACAGTAAAGCCAAAAGAAAATTTTTCTCGAGTGGATTTTATTCTTCATGTCATTATATCATGTTTCTTAATTGTACAAAAATACCCAAACTGGTGGGAGGTGTGAGAATGACACAAAACTTAAAATCCAGGCTGCAACATAAATTAAATTTGAAATGCAATCATTGAGAATCATTTAGTTTTCCATGATGTGTTTATCCCACTTTGAAGTTTTAAACTTACTGGTGGTATCAGCTGCAGGTAAGAGCACTGCTGCAGGATATCCACATTTGCAGGCTTTGACTTTTAATTTCCTCATCTACTGACATTTGACAAAGCTTTTAAGGTCTTCAAGGAATTTAATGTACTCCTGGTGCTCTAATGCAGTGCTGAGCTCAACTAATTCATCAGCAAATGTGTTGTCCACTCCTCGGTCAGCCAAGAAATCCATTAAGTGGTCATACAGAGCCTGCAAGAAATTTATAATTATTCAACAAAGAATTATAGATAAGCATTACTTTTAAATGCCCTTTTGTATTTCACTTTCCACTGGGAAGAAGTGAATGTATTTTCCCGAAATTCATAGAACCTGTTCCCTTCCTCACAGCAGGCCTAAACTAGGATCAAGATTTACAGGAGACTAATACAGGAATGATAGAGGAGACCTCTAATGGATGGATCATACTGTTATTTTCTACTAAACTGCACCCAACTGTAATACTGAGATGGTCTAATGACAATGCAAGCTAGTAAATCAAGTCTGCTGAAAACCATCTGCATCACCAAAAAGCCTTTTATCCCACCCAAGATTCTCCGTGTAATGCTATGTATTTGAAGTTTGGACACAGGTTATTTTCAGTACTGTCTGGCCAGCATGGTCAGAAGATTGGTACCAGAGGTATAGACCTGTTCAATTAAGATTCAGTTCCTTTCCAAATCATACATTGCATTTTTTCATATTCATCTATTGTTAGAGTTGCAAGTAGACTTGCGTGATAATGCCACCCCAAAGAACACGTTTTGTACTAAGCAGTAAATGTGAACCAGGGATGTAGAAGACCTTCCCCTTTGCCCAATTTGATTGTGTATGTTAAAAAAAAAAAAATCAGCATCTCAACCTCTGGCATTATCAGTAGTACTGTTCCAGCCAGTGAGTCTCACTTCTTGATACAGACCTGAGCCTGCAAAAGGACTTGCACATACCAATCCTTTCTCCCACATGGATTTCCAATTAAATCACTGGCATGTAGAGGATATCAGCACATGCCTGGTGAGGTTTTTGGTAAATACACACAAAATATGCATAATAAAATGTGCCCGTAACACACAGACAGAAGAACATGCATGAGTGTCTGCTAACTTTACCTTAAATGATCTGTCAAATTTTCACACAACTGGGATAATTTCACTAACTGATACTTGGTCAGTATTCTACAGATAAGCCTGCAGAAGTCTCACTGACTTCAATTTATCTTAGGTACATATATGGCTCCCATCACAGTAGTATCTGAGCACCTCATAGATCTATATTCATCTTCACAGCACCCCTATAAGGGACAGCAGTGCTATTATCCCCATTTTACAGATGGGGAACTGAGGCACAGAATTGCCTAAAGTCACACAGGAAGCCTGGGGCAGAGTAGGGAATACCAAGTCCTAGGCAAGCACCCTAACCACTGGACTCTCCTTCTCAACAAGAGCTCACCAAGAAGCGATCCCAGGACAGGGCTCCTGGTGACTATATCAACATCTAGAGAGAAAACCAAATGGGATGAGTTGAGCTAAGCTCTATGCAGTCTCATGTGCTACACAGGTTTTAGCAGCACCTACCCAGTCAAGAGAGTCTGTGCTGAGAGTGTAGTTGGTGTCCTTCCAGTCTGATTCTCCAGTGGGCTGAAAGCTGACCTCCCGGATTGAGAAAATGTCACTCTCCTCCTCTTCCCCATGTCCAATCTGAGACAAGAAAGGAGATCTGTGAGGAAGAACTGCCCTAACTGGAGAGCACCTTCAGCCATTACATTCTGGATCAGGAACGTTATTCAGCTGGCAAAAGCTATGGAGCCCAACAATATGACTGACACATGGTAAAGCTAACTACACTTGCAGGTTTTGATTATTAACATACTTAGGAGTCCCTACTTCTCCTCTTGCTGTGTACATGTGGTAAGGACACCTACACATAAGCACAAAAACACTCAAGTTGCCATAATGGATCAATCCACCATTATTTGTTGCCCATTATCCTGTCTCTGACAGTGGCCAGTACCAATTGCTTCAGAGGAAGATGTACAAAATCTTCTAATGGACAATTCTGGAATAACCCAAGAAGAAGTTTCCTCCTAAACATTGTCAACTAGAGTTTGGCTTATACTATGAAGCATTAAGATTTATATCCCTTCTAAGGATTTTATTAAGGTTTTTTTAAAAAAAAATTCAAATGCAACTGCAATGTTCTCTACAGAAAAAATGTCTAATTTATTTTGGAATTCTACTATTCTTGGTCTCAATGACATCTAGTGACAATGAATTCCACAAGTCAATTATGCATTGTGTAGAAAAATAAATAAATATATATATATATAAATAAATAAATAGCTGTCCTTCAAGTTACGGTACACTGCTAAAAATTGCTGCTCACTTCCTTCTGCCTACTCTGTTCAGCAGAAGCTATTAGAACAGAGGAAAGCAAGCAGCTATACTTAGGGAAGCGAGACCAGGATATGCAGAGTGGAGTGGAACTTCCCAGCTCTGCAAACATTTAAAACCTTTTATTGTGTCACACTGAACAAGATGGTAATAGGACAGTCTATACATTATGGAAGCGCATATACGTTGTACAGCAAAATCTTGCCTGACCAGACAAGAGGAATAAGACGATGCACAGAATCAGAGTGCATTGTCCCATTCAACCCACAATTACCAGTGGTTCACTTCCTCCAATTCATGATACCTACCTCATCCTCAGGATAGTGGCAGTCAAGCACAAGAGTCTGTTTGGGGTCATCTTTTGTTACTTCTACAACAAAGTTAGGAGTCGATGTAAGTTCAGGCTATGAAAAGTAAGAGGAAGATCACGTTAGCATTGGACTCCACCTATGCTAGGTAACTACTTTCTATACAAAGACCAGTGGGGATAGCAGGCAGTACATAAACCAACTGCTACAAAACTTAAACTGGTTGGTTTTTAGACACTACACAGATTCCTTGAATATGTCTAATATCGGTGTTCACAGCAAAGCAAGTTTTTGCCTCAAAACCATCACATCGCTCACTTTAAAAGTGGTAAGTGATTCTATTTACTAACTATTGTAATACCGGCTGATTAAATCCCACCATCACCATAAATATAGATGACCTTATAAAAGATCGAGGGGTGTGTGAATATATTTATGGATTAAGATTTTTTTAACTGTACTTCATATCACAGCAAGTTGCAAAGGTAGCCATAAGTTCGAACATCTTAGTTCCCTTCACTTTTAGCTACAAAGGATCCTCTTGTACGGGCACATTTTATGCCTACCAAGTGTCTTTCTACCTTTGATATTGCAATAAGAGGGAGAGGGTAGTTTAATTGTAGACCAGGCAAATGCCTAATGTTCTCCTCTACTACACTGCACTTATTGAAAGGGTACATAAAGGCTGTAAATTTACCTCCTGTTCATCAGCTTTCTGTCCTTCTTGTGGTTCTTCATCAAATGTTGGTGGAATGCTGTTGTTAATGTTGAATGTAACTGTAATCCTTCAACACAATGTAACAAAGGATGAGATTAAATACCAGATAAAAGCCACATTAGTTGAACTGATACTCACAGCTCTATTACTGCTCACAAAGTTTCAGGTGCTTATTCAATCTGGGATGTCAATAACGGGGCCTGAAGTATATTGTGCACTTCACTGAATTTCCCCAGCACTTCGTATGGTGTGCTACTCTCAAGGATAAATTTTAAGATAAGATCACTGCACAAAGTTTAAACCCCATAAATTCCCTGTATTTATGAACTAATGCATTTTCAGTTTACTAGGTTAAATTCATGTTTCCTGTTGCCCCTTAGGGTGAAATGGTGCCATGAATCCTTAGAAGACACAGGGCAAGATACAATGGCAAAGTATACCCCATTGCACTACAGGATGGAAAAATAAAGTGACTACAAAGCTTTTGTAATCTCCACTTGGCCTGGATGACAGCACCAAGTGACATTGGGAAGCAGTACTAAGTTAATAGCTTTTCATTAACACAACATCTATCATGGACAAGACATGCTTATCCTGCTTCACTGGTATTTATACTAAGTCCTTATATTCACTGACAAGATCAAATATCAGCTCATTGAAAAACCCATCTCACACTTACCTCTCACCAGCTATTTTCCGCAACAATTTGGCTTCAGTGCCATGCACTTCTAGCTCCCACCCTCCAGACATCTTGGGCAGGGATTTATGTTTCCGGATCTTCTCCTCCTCTTTAATTTCATCTCTCAGAAACTCTGCAAACGCTTTGTCCCCTGGGAGGAATAAAAAGAGATGAAGACATTAAAACACCTGAGTTAGAGAAATATTGTTTCCTTGTGGCTAGAAGAGAAAATGAAGTTAGGCCTCCAGGATTCTATTTCTAGCTTAGCCACTGACTTGACCAAATAACATCTGTGTACCGCAGTTTATCCTGGTATAAAGTGGTAATGGTGGGAGGTAATACCACATACCTTATACTGAGATTACAAGGCCTATTCGTTCATAAAGAGTTTTGCAATGTTCAGCTGAAAAGCACTATACTGAAGAGGGCAAAGAATTAAAGCGTGTGCAGAGTGATGACGTATGAGAACCCTTAATTTGCCAAAGGGGCTGAAGTTCTGGATGAAGAGTTAAGTAACACGCCATTACTAAAAGACATTATTAAAAGCTGTTCTTTCAATACATACAAGTATTGATACAGGTACAATACACGAGAAAAAAAGCACCTAAATTATTAATGAAGTGAGCACAAGAACTTGGATAGAATCACTGGAGTCTTAAGCAGGGTTCCCAGTGACTACAACAGATCTCAGGCATAAGAATCTGCCCTGTAGGGCCTAGGAGTGAAGTCAGAGGGTGACAATCCCAATATACGTCCATGACTGAAACTAGATTACAATACAGATAAATACCTGTTTAACCATCCATCTAAGGAGCGCACACTGCTTTGCAATCATTATGCACCACCAACCCTTTCCATAAAGCAGGTGAATTATCTGTATTTCACCACTGGGTTTGCTGAAGTTAAGATGGGGGAGGAGGGAGGAAAGAGACACGGGGCTGACACATAACAGAAAGGTTAAGTGACTTGCCCAAGGTCACACATTTTGTCAGTGATAAAGATAGGAACAGAATCCCACAGACCCAATTCCCAGTTCCGCTACAGTCAGACATCTTCCATCCATCCATCCATCCCCAGCATCTCGAAGCACAGGAGACTCTGTGCCTAGGAGTTGTTGAGATGCAGAGAACACAAGCGCCCACGTGCCACACAGGGAACACCAGGAGCCCAGAGAGAAGCGGTTTACAGCTGCAGATCTTCCGAGGGAGGGAGCCCGGAGCCCAGACCGAGAGCTCCCGGCCCCTTCGCCGTCCCGGACCAGGAGCCAGCCCCAGGCTGCAGCTCAGAGGCGGAGCGTCCACCTGGGCCCGTTACACGCACCCTGACCGCCCAGGCCAGCAACCCGCTTCTCCCGGGAACCGCCCGCCCGCGGGAAACGGGGGACGGGGCTCCCCGCGCCTAGGAAACCCCGCTCTCCTCCCGGGACTCCCGCGTCGCCCAGCCTCGCCCCCCCGCCCTTCCCGGGGCCGCCTCCTTCCACCCCCCGCCCTTCCCGGGGCCGCCTCCCTCCACCCCCCCGCCCTTCCCGGGGCCGCCTCCTTCCACCTCCTTCCACCCCCCGTCTTACCCTCGGTGTGGAGGCCGCCGCAGCCGCAGGGGGAGGCTCGCTGGGGCCGCAGGAGGCCAGGCCGCTGCGTCCCGGCCGCGTCCCCGCTGAGCAGCCAGAGGCTGCGGGTGAAGGGGCGGGCGGCGGGCGGGCGGGCGTCGCAGAGCAGGGCCGCGGGCCGCAGCAGCGGGGAGGGCGGGACCCGCGGCGGCAGCGGGCGGAGGGCGGCGGCGGCGGCGCGCAGAGCCCGGGCGAGCAGCATCCTGCCAGGAGAGCGAGGCCGAGTGAGGCGGGGGCACGGCACGTGGGGGAGCAGAGCACAGGGACCAGCCCCTCACCCGGAAGTGCAAGCCGTCACCCGGAAGCGCGTCGTCACCCGGAAGCGTTTCTCCCACCTTCCGGGGCGTGAGGCGCCGGACTCGGACTGGGGCTCGTCTGTTCCCGGCTAGGCCGCAGCGCTGACCGGGGCAGAGCCAGGGCAGCAGGAGCCCGCAACCTCCGGACTTGGCTCCATGGGCCCGGCTGGAGCACCCCGAGCCCCACCCCCGTGCGAGGCGCTGTACAAATGGAGCCAAGTCCCCGCCCCAGGGGGCCATTGAAAAGCCCCTGGCAGCCTGGATTGGGCCCTCGCCCGCCCGCCCGCTCGGGTTACCAGCTTTGGTTTCCTGGAGGTTTCCTCACATGACAATCTTTAATTAAAGATTAATTGTTTAATTCCTGGAGGCTCCCGCACAATCCTGGAGGGTTGGCAACCCTACTGCGTCCATGCCGCGCCACAAGCCCAGGAAAGCGGCAGACGCATTTATAATCCCATCCCCTTTGCTCTCACAGGGGGTAGCCACGGAGCTTGGTTCCCACCGGGTGTGAAGGCTGAGCCATAGGAATTCTTTCTTCCACCAAAAAGCCAACACCCGATTTCAGCACAAAGCAAGTGTGCTGCAGCTGAGAATAACCATAGCCCACAATTTTCAAAAGTGACTAGTGATTGTGGATGCCAACTTGAGACAGCTTCAGGTATAGGTAGTCAATTATTTTGGTCAAGGTCCAGACTCCAGAGAAAATAATGACGATAAATAAAAGGATGTAGGGGTCCACTTAAAAGCCTCTGGCAGGCTGGACTGGGCTCACAGTCTACCTGTTGAGTATCTCTGCCTTAAAGGCTTCCGGTAGTTGAGCAGCCACAGAAAATTACGACTCTTTAATGCGCCTCATTTTGGACACCCAAAATCACTACTCACTGTTGAAGGTCATGTCAGCAATGATTTAAGTCCAAATTAAGCAGACTCCCTCTCTCCCACCAAATACAGCTTTGAAAGCATATAATTGCTGAAGTGGCAACTACTGAATATCAGGCTGTTAAAACAGTAAGAGCTAAAATAGTGATTAGATAGTATTTACACTTCAGTGATCAAACGGCTAGAGTCTCCCCATCGTAGGTATGTCGTTAAAACATGCAGTCAAAAGGTAAAACAAAACCCCAAGCCTTTCCTCACCTATCTCCCCTGCAAAAGAAACCTGTCACTTGAACACCTCTCACAAACAGAAGTTGGTCCACTAAGTAAGATATATTACCTCACCCACTTGTGTGTGTAACTTCCATAATGAAGAAAACTAAGAAGGTAGATAAATTTGGAAACACTAATTACCATAATAAAGGCTTAACCCTTGTGTAGCAATTTTCATTCATAGATCTCAAAAAAATTATAAAAGGAAGGTAATTATAATTATTCTCATTTTACAGATGTGGATCCTAAGGTACAGAGGGGAGAAGTTACTTCCCCACATCAGTTGCAGAGCTGGCAACAGAAGCCAGCTCTTCTGCTAGAGTATAGTTGGAGGCCACCCCTGCCATATAACATTTTTCTTTTCTCCTGTGCCACTCATGACATTGCATCAAGGGAGCAGCTGCTAATTTCTCACTCTTCAGGTTTCCATATTCTTTCTGCAGATATGCTAAATCACATTATTTTCATGAACCAAGAATCTCTAAAAAAAAAAAACTGCAGCCAGGAGTAGGATAGTGAGTCCAAGTTATCAAGACATCAGTATTTACAATTTTTCCCTGAACACTGATTTTTAAGGCTTATAGAAATCAATTTTTTTAATAATTGTATAGAGGTCAATTAAAATTGTACAGGGCACTGAAAACTCGTGGGCTAGAAATAATAGTATTGTAAATAGTATTAAACTTTATCTCAATATTCTCTCTCCGCCCCTTTATAAGATAACAGCATTCAGCTTTTCATTCATCTTTGCAAGTCCCCTTAAATTTATTTGAAAATAGAAGTAACAGTCAAAAAATAACCTAGTACTAATATTAATTTTAAAAGAAGGACTGACCAGGGGACATGCACCCTGGCATAACACGCTGACCTTTTGTATGAGTTAGTGATGTTACTCTCTAGTGACCAGCTCTCAATCAATCAATCAATCAATAAAAGACACCAGGAAAACACATTCACAAAAGGACTTTAGGTCATGACAGCAAAGCTATGCTTAGAATAAAACATCATGTTACAAGAATCCAAAGTACAAAAAAGAAAATCACTATGTAAAATTAGAATTTGTACCTAAACATTCCATGAGGTACTTTTAATAGCCACTTAGCTTCCTCACTTCAAAGCCTGAGCTATGTATAGAACATAAGACAACAGCTTCTTGAACTTGGAGTTTAGCCATCTCTTTATTATGGGAAAGTCAAATGTACAAATTAGTTGCTTCTGAATGGATCTCCCCTCCCCACACCCAATCCCCAAACATATTGTTAATAGGCTGTCCAAACAAAGTGTGCTTTTATTCCACTTTCCCCTACAGATGCAGAGTTTCTGTATAAACACAGGAATAATTATATACAGTGTTTTAATAATTCCCTGCAGTTTGTATGAGTTATAACAATTGAAGTAGCAGCATACTGTTGAAATGCCATCCAGAATTGCAGCTGGTCATACATAGAAAGGAGGCAACTTTGCCCCCAGCCCCTCAGCATGTTTCTTACCAACAAGGATACAGTGAGAGGCACAACTAAGGGATACATTTATACATCTCCTCAAGACCCCTGTAAAAATTCAGTGTCACCTTGTCTGGAAATAGATTGATACACTTCACTATTCCTGGAAGCAGAAGGGAAGATACTCTAGGCATACTGTGTAACTGGAGTGCACCTATTTACACTAATGCTGCTCTTAGGAATCAGTGATTTGCAGATATTTAAGAGTGTAATTCAGGTTTTAAAGAGAGGTATTTGTCATAGATTTCACTGGATGAGGACCAAGGTAGTCAGAATAATAGTAGCCTGTCGAAAAGGCATATTGCAACATACTGTGTAATTGTGAAGCATTTAACCAGAAAAAAAATGTCAAGATAGAAAGCATAACTTCTCCCTGCAGATCACACAGTAAAGTCAGCAGTTTATCTGTTCACAAGAATAATGAGTTTTCCAATATGATTCTATCCCTGAGCAGCACCATTAAAACATTTCTTTTTAAAAAGTAAAATCGATGTTTGAAAAATACAAGAGTGGACTAAACACCATTTTAGTCAAACTGGGATATCCCAGAGCAGCTCGTGTTAACTAATCACATTATTTAATAAAAGTTTCCCATCTTCCCCTTTTAGAAATCTAATCTGCTTTAAGTCATCTCATCCTAAAACTGAACAACTCAAACTGTGCAAAGAGATTTCTGCTGAAACTAGAAGTTGCCTCTCCCAGAGAAGTTATTTTAGAAGTACTCATAAGGATATAATTTAAAAACTTCTTACAATTTTTCTCCATCCCCATTCAGACATAATAGAACAGTCCATTCCACTCATTCAAGACATTACTGGGCAAGTAATATTTGGACAATCAAGCAATGAGACTGGCTGAACCTGCCTTCGTCCCTGTATAAAACACAGGAGTAAAAAATAAGATTGGTTCTTATTGCATTTTCCTTCAGAGAAGAATCTGACCACTAGATGCTGGATGAAGCCCAAAATGCCGAAGACAGATGTAGCGTTCCTAGCCAACGTTGCCATGCTACAAATGTCTAATGAAGGACAAAAATAATCAAGAAAAGCAGAAAAATACTGGTGTAAAACTGTAATGGGGAAAATAAATATCTGATGATTAAAGAGCTTTTGAAGGAAGTCTGACTCCAAATTACATCTTCATTTTTTTTTTCTGGAAAGTTTGCCACGAAATAACCTGATGAGCTATTGCAAAGGATAAGACTTACAGTGATCTGCTATCTCCAAGCAGTGAACTTGGAAGTTTTAACCTGGCCAAGAAGGAAGGATGAACAAAGGTGTGGGGGGACAAGCATGGTGGAGGGCAATTTCTTTGCTGCCAGAGTTCTGGGTTGAGTCTGAAACAAAGTCTTTGCTTCTGCTTTGAAACCTTTGGCTGCCATGACAAAGAAAATCTCTTCAGGCAAAGACTGGCGCAAAAATTTCAGAGGGCAAAATACAGAAGTTAACAGTCCGAATTCCACCCCTCACACACATACTGAATAATAATAATAATAATGTGTCTTAATAGCAAAGCAGAGGAAAAGACTGTACTCAGAAGACAGCTGGTTATAAAGTCAAGTGGCATTTGGAGAGAGGGGATGCATAATAGACCACTGCCAAACTCAACAGTCTGATTGGATTCCTAAGTAAGAAGCAGAGATTTCTTTAAAGATCTGTGCTTTGTGGGAATGCTAAAAAACAAGTATGGAAGATATCAGTTTTTGCTAATTCGTTAGACTGTCTGCCATGTAAAGAGCCTGGGATCTTTATACTTAACTTCTTTTGCCATCTCAGTTGTAAATATCTGTTTTACCATCTGCACTTTTATGATTCTTCTATGGATTACATGGTTATAAATTGCTAGCAAAATATAACTAGCCACGCCTGCCCAAGCAAAACTTAGATCTCACAGACGATAGCTTGTTGCCAATTAACAGAAGCATCCAACTCACTGGGGAAATGTTACCCAACTTTAACAATACATACTACCTATAAGAGCTCTGCAGTGGCTGATCCTTTCCTTAGATTTAACTCTTTGGTGGTGGTGAGCCCAGCATTCCCTTATTTCTGCAGCATGTGTGCACGTTACATATTAATATCAGGTGACCACAACCACCAGGCAACGAACATCAACTTCTCTTGCTTGAGAGACAATGATTTTCAGCACTAGCTCTCGAATCCAGAGCCACAGATCACTGCTGTGAACAACGGAGAGCTACAGATAAACATAGACTTAGGAGGACCAAGTGCCAATCCATTGCTTTCCCTAGTTTGGCTTTGCAATGGCCAACTGGCTTAAGATTCTGCATCCGTATGCAAGAAAAACTGTGTGTACAAGGTTCAGAG